CCACGGACGCACCCATTGACGAAAACTCGCAAATAGCACAACTTTTCATCTTCAATGCCTTTAGAAGGCACAGCACAAATTTGAAGTCGGTCGGACTAAATCCCTAGGAGGAGTTCGTTAAAGTACGAAGTGTGTAAATCATCCAAAATTTGACGTAAAATTCAAAATGGCCTACTTCCTGTTGATTTTAGGGCATCGCTCCAAGAGGCTTTTTTGTGCGTCTGGACAAGATACACGTACCACAGAAAATTCGTGCACGTAGGTGAAACGTGCGGCGGGGGCTGCTTCGTTAAAAGTCACTTCCTGTTGCCAGCAGGTGGCGCTATGACTGTCTGTGAATGTGAGCATGTACATGTGTTCAGGGCGGGACTCTCATCCTACATGTACAGTTTGGTCCAGATGTGAGCATGTACACTGAAGTTACGACAACTTCCGTGTCATGGCGAAGAGCTGATCTTTGACGCCACGCCACGGACACGCCCATTGACGAAAACTTGCAAATAGCACAACTTTTCATCTTCAATGCCTTTAGAAGGCACAGCAAAAATTTGAGGTCGGTCGGACTAAATCCCTAGGAGGAGTTCGTTAAAGTACGAAGTGTGTAAATCATCCAAAATTTGACGTAAAATTCAAAATAGTCGACTTCCTGTTGGGTTTAGGCTATGGCTCCAAGAGACTTTTTTGTGCGTCTGGACAAGATACACGTACCACAGAAAATTCGTGCAAGTAGGTGAAACGTGCGGCGGGGGCTGCTTCGTTAAAGGTCACTTTCTGTTGCCAGCAGGTGGCGCTATGACTGTGGGTGAATGTCGGCATGTACATGTGTTCAGGGCGGGACTCTCATCCTACATGTACAGTTTGGTCCAGATGTGAGCATGTACACTGAAGTTACAACAACTTCCTGTTTCATTGCGAATCATCGACGCCACGGACACGCCCATTGACGAAAACTCGCAAATAGCACAACTTTTCATCGTCAATGCCTTTAGAAGGCACAGCAGAAATTTGACATCGATCCGACTAAATCCCTAGGAGGAGTTCGTTAAAGTACGAAGTGTGTAAATCATCCAAAAATGGCCATAAAATTCAAAATGGCCGACTTCCTGTTGACTTTAGGCTAAGGGTTCTTGAGGCTTTTTTGTGCGTCTTGATACGATACATGTCCCCAGAAATTTTCGTACATGTAGGTTGAACGTGAACGAGGGGCTAATCATTTCCAATTTTCTAGGTGGCGCTAGCGAGTCATTTTGCCACGCCCATGTGCGAAACTTGTAGAATACGAAATTTTCTTTGTATGCAATGTTTGCAAATTTTGGTGAGTTTTCGAGTATGTTTAGGCCATGTCATTTGGGCCTACTTTGCAGAAAAAAAAAAAAAAAATATATATATATATATATAATGCGAGCAAATTCAATAGGGACCTCGCACGGTCGTGCTCGGGCCCTAATAATAATAATAGGACTAGCAACAATAGTCGTTGCAGCAGAGGGTGTCGAGCAGGAACACAGGGGCAGCAGGTGACCCACAACCACAGATCCAGACTCCACAGCTCCAGAGCCAGAAAACCTGCAGGAAGTGATAGGAGGAGAGAGGAGAGGGACGAGAAAGCACAAGACTACCGGAAAGGGGAGAAGTTGTGTTAGTAACATGCAATAATGGGATGAGGTTGCATACAGAGGGAGAGAAAGTAGAGGAGAGAGGAGCTCAGTGCATCATGGGAAATCCCCCGGCAGTCTAGGCCTATAGCAGCATAACTAAGGGATGGTTAAGGACTCACCTGAGCCAGCCCTAACTATAAGCTTTATCAAAGAGGAAAGTCTTAAGCCTACTCTTAAATGTGGAGATGGTGTCTGCCTCCTGAACCCAAACTGGAACCTGGTTCCACAGGAGAGGAGCTTGATAGCTGAACGCTCTATCTCCTAGTCTACTTTTGGAGACTCTAGGAACCACAAGTAACCTTGCATTCTGGGAGCGCAGCGCTCTGGTGGGGTAGTAAGGTACTATGAGCTCTTTAAGATAAGATGGTGCCTGACCATTAAGAGCTTTGTAGGTAAGAAGAATGTTTTATTTTAAATTCTATTCTGGATTTTACTGGAAGCCAATGCAAAGAAGCTAAGACAGGAGAAATATGATCTCTTTTCCTGGTTCCTGTCAGAACCCGTGCTGCAGCATTCTGGATCAGCTGAAGAGTCTTAACGGAGTTTTTCGAGCAGCCTGATAATAAGGAATTGCAGTAATCCAGCCTAGAAGTAACAAATGCATGGACTAGTTTTTCTGCATCATTTTTAGACAGGATGTTCCTGATTTTCGCCTTTCGCATTTTCATCCTTGAAATTTGCTTAATGTGAGACTTAAACGACATGTCCTGATCAAAGATAACTCCAAGATGCCTCCTTGCTGGAGGCCAAGGCCATGCCATCCAGGGAAACTATATCTTTAGATAATGCGTCACGGAGGTGCTTAGGCCCCAGAGCAATAACTTCAGTTTTATCTGAGTTTAACATGAGAAAATTACAGGTCATCCAGGTTTTAACATCCTGAAGGCACATTTGAAGTTTAGCTAACTGATGAGTTTCATCTGGCTTGATCGATAGATATAACTGAGTATCATCTGCATAACAATGAAAGCTTTTGGAATGTTTCCTGATAATATTGCCTAAAGGAAGCATATATAAAGTGAAGAGGATTGGTCCAAGGACAGATCCTTGAGGAACTCCATGAGTAACTTTGGCGTGCATGGAGGACTCATCGTTAACATGTACAAACTGAAATCTATCTGATAAATAGGACTTAAACCAGCTTAGAGCGGTTCCTTTAATGCCAATGAAATATTCCAGTCTCTGCAATAGGATCTGATGGTCAATGGTATCAAATGCAGCACTTAGATCTAATAAAACCAGTACAGAGACAAGTCCTTTGTCTGATGCAATAAGGAGGTCGTTAGTAATTTTCACCAGTGCTGTCTCTGTGCTATGATGAGCTCTAAATCCTGAAATGACTGAAAATCCTCAAATAAACTATTGCTCTGTAGAAAGTCACACAGCTGTTTAGCAACTGCTTTCTCCAGAACCTTAGAGAGAAATGGAAGGTTAGATATAGGTCTATAGTTGGCTAAAACATCTGGATCAAGTTTGGGCTTTTTCAGAAGAGGTTTAATTACAGCTACTTTAAAGTACTGTGGTACATAGCCTGTTGATAAAGATAGATTGATCATATCTAGTATAGAGGTGCTGACTAAGGGTAAAACATCTTTAAGCAGCCTAGTCGGGATGGGGTCTAAGAGGCAGGTTGATGGTTTAGATGAAGAAATTATTGAAGTTAGTTGGTAAAGATTGAGGGAAGTAAAACAGTCTAAACATGTATCTGGTTCTACAGCTGTTTCTAAGGTTCCTGAGTTAAGAGATAAGTTGGTGCCAGTTGAGGGCAGGTCTTGGTGAATTTTGTCTCTAATAGCTAGAATTTTATCATTAAAGAAGCTCATGAAGTCGTAACTACTGAGAGCTATGGGAATACTTGGCTCAATAGAGCTGTGACTCTCTGTCAGCCTGGCTACAGTGCTGAAAAGAAACCTGGGGTTGTTCCTATTTTCCTCTATTAATGACGAGTAGTACGCTGCTCTGGCATTACGGAGGGCCTTCCTATAAGTTTTAAGACTATCTTGCCAAATTAAATGAGAATTTTCCACTTTGGTGGAACGCCAATTCCTCTCAAGTTTCCGTGATATTTGCTTTAATTTGCGAGTTTCAGTATTATACCATGGAGCTAACCGTCTTTGTTTTAGTATTTTCTTTTTTAGAGGGGCTACAGAGTCGAGTGTCATTCGCAGTGAGCCTGCAGCACTATCAACAAGATGATCGATTTGGGAGGGACTGAAATTAGCATAGGAGTCCTCCGTTACTTTGTGACTAGATAATGTATTTAGAGCTGATGGAATCGCATCCTTAAATTTAGCTACAGCACTATCAGACAGACATCTTGTATAGAAATTTTTGCCCAATGGCGTGTAGTTCAGCAATACAAACTCAAAAGTTATCAAACAGTGGTCGGATAAAGAGGGATTCTGTGGGAACACCACTAAATGTTCAATTTCAATACCATACACCAAAACAAGGTCGAGGGTGTGGTTAAAACAGTGAGTCGGTTCATGAACACTCTGAGAGAAGCCAATGGAATCTAACAGAGAGATAAACGCAGTACTAAAGCTGTCATTCTCAACATCCACATGAATATTAAAATCTCCTACAATAATAACTTTGTCCGTTTTAAGGACTAAAGTTGACAAAAACTCTGCAAATTCAGATAAGAATTCAGAGTACGGGCCAGGTGCTCGGTACACTATAACAAAAAGAATTGGTTGCAGTGATTTCCAACTTGGGTGTGAAAGACTAAGAACAAGACTTTCAAATGAGTTATAGTTTAGTTTAGGTTTAGAGCTGATTAATAGGCTAGAGTGGAAGATAGCTGCAACTCCACCTCCTCGGCCTGTGCCTCGAGGAATGTGAGTATTAATATGACTGGGAGGGGTGGATTCATTTAGGCTAACATATTCTCCATCACCCAGCCAGGTTTCAGTAACACCAAACAAATCAATATCATAATCTGATATTAGTTCATTTACTAGTACACCTTTAGAAGAGAGAGATCTGATGTTTAAGAGTCCACATTTAACTCTCATATTCGTTTGCACTATTGCTCTTGTGGTTTTAATTTTTATGAGTTTTTTTATGCACAGCTCCTCTTCTGTTTACCTTTGATTTAAATAATTTCGATGGTCTGTATTTGTCCTTCATTCAGCATTCTTTGGTTTCTTTCTCTGTGTTTGTCCTTCATTCAACATTCTTTAGCTTCTTTATGTCTGAAACATGCAGCCAGTCCTCATTTCTCTCATGCATCTGCCCGCCAATAAAAACACCTGGTTCAATGTGCGTGAGCAGGCAGCGACCTGACAGGTGAGTCCTGATATCTGTATACCCATTGTTTTCATCTCTCTCCTTTTATAGTAAGGGGGCAAGGGTGTGAACCAGGACGGGAATAGATGAGTTCTGACTCGTGGTTTCACTTGCTTTCACCTTCATCTCAGCTTCGCACGGTAAGACTTACTCTCATTTTTTGGTTTGATTAAAATTGGTGTTTGTCTGTGGACTCGTCTGGCAATAATATCAGATGTCCTGAGCAGGGGTCTCATTTCTAAACAGTGTGTAAGTACGAAAGAGGGCTGGAAACATGTGTATGCCACATCCCAAGCAAAGGTTGTGATCTATAAAAAACAGACCTGACAGGAGATTGTGTAAGTAAACTCTGAAGAGGCCTATTATTGTGTAAAATAAATCCAAATATTACCTCTGAGTAATTACAGGTTTAAAGCTTTTCTGAACAAACAAACAGATGTTTGATTTTGATTGATTTTCCCTGAAGTAGCAATAAAAAATCATTGCAGCCAAAAAGCCAGCTAAACTTTTACTGCCCTGGTGGAAAATATGTATTTCCTTTTACTGCTAATGGCTATATGTAACAAGACCATGTGCCTGTCAATTGATCAATAATAAATACTTTAAGAATTTGCATTAAAAAAAGTTTTTTGGATATTGCTTCCCACTGTGCACACAAATGTGTAATTTGTACTTTCACAATGTAAATGCCCATTAAAAACATTGCACTGTTTTAGCACAAGCTGAAATTATGGCTGTCAGTACTACTTTTTGGTTCTGTTGTATATTTTGGTAAGATTTGCAGATTGCTTATCTAATCAAGCAAAGCAAGAGGAGCTTTGATCCTCCCCTGACAATGCCTTGGTAAACTTCATGTATTATGTGGTTTATAATGGACTGTGGTGCAGAAACAGAGGCTTACATTGTCCAGATATCGGTCAGTGGTCATACTTGATGCACTAGATGTGATAGTTTTTGAGATGTTCTTCATTTACTTTGGTATATTTGTCCAGATGAGCCAACCCTCCCAATAATGTATTACAGGAGTATGAGACATCATGTAGCACTTCATTTCTTGATGTGGTAGATGTTTATTAATGAACAAGTGTTCTGCCCTCACTGTTCGAACTGAGCACAGTTAAGCAGACAGATAAACTCCTACACATGTGACAGGTGTATTGTCTTCTTTATTGAGACGTTCCCTTCACATATCTACAAAGTGAAACTGGAAGAAAATAACAAAGCATATTTTTCAGGCACTAAAGAAGGCTCTGGTATGCTACACATTAATACCATGTTCTGTGTGGACACATTTGCATACAATACAAATACATGCAAAGGAGAATTGCAAACATTTGGCATATAGATAGCAACATGCAAAAAGAAACACTAAGAAATATGTTTGAATAAACAAAATATAGCTGTACATTTACCATAATCACTACGTAATAATTAAACAAATGCAAATTCTAAAGCTACATACAGCATAGCTGAGTGGATGCTACTAGCATGACTTTAATATTAACTGTCTATGAAGATTCTCAGTCATCCAGGTCATAGTTCTCCAAAGAAGGTTAAAGTCAAGGGCAACTGGACTTGGTTGAAGACACTGGAAGACGTTTCGTCCCTCATCCAAAGGACTTCTTCAGTTCTGACTGACTGGCAGGGAAACTCAGCTATTTAACCTCAGTGGGGTCGTTGGCCCGGGTCATCGATACCGCTGGTTCGTTAGTGTTCCTGGTTGCTGTAACGACAGTCGTTACGGTCGTTAAGACTACCGGTGGCCAAGACTGAACGACCATCGTTGGTATCTTCACCTGAGGCCAATAGGTTACGTTTGTTGAGTTTCCTGGGAAGTGATGAAAGGACAGCATTGTAAGTGGGGGATAAGTGGTGGCGTAGACCCCCTCCCCTGTTCAATGACGGCTTCTCAACCCTGGTGTAGATGCTTCCTTGACACCTCTTTCAAACCATGCATCTTCTCTGTCTAAAATGTGCACCTGGTGGTCCTCAAACGAGTGTCCTCTGTCCTTCAGATGTAAGTAGACTGCAGAGTCTTGACCTGAGGAGTTGGCCCTTCTTGTGTTGAGCCATGCGTTTGTGTTGTGGTTGTTTAGTCTCCCCAATATACAGGTCTGTGCATTCCTCACTGCATTGGACCGCATACACTAGATTGCTTTTCTTGTGTTTGGGTGTGCGGTCTTTGGGGTGGACCAGCATCTGTCTTAGTGTGTTCTTGGGTTTAAAAAACACAGGGATGTTGTGTTTGTTGAAAATCCTCCTGAGTTCACGTATAGAATGACAATGTTGTTGCGTTTGACCTTCTTTTCCTCTCCTGTAGTTTTGTTCTTCTTGGATCTTGTGGCTGTCTTCACAAAGGTCCATTTAGGGTATCCACAGGCTGTAAGTGCCCCCTTCAGGTGGTTCTGTTCCTTCTCTCTGGCTTGGGCGCTTGTTGGTATATTTTCCGCTCTGTGGTGCAGTGTCCTCATGACCCCTAGCTTGTGCTCCAGTGGGTGGTGGGAATCGAACAGTAGGTATTGGTCTGTGTGTGTGGGTTTTCTGTAAACCCCAGTTTGCAGGCTCCTGTCCTCTTCAATGTGTACAGCGCAGTCCAGGAAGGCCAAACTGTTGTTGTGAACATCTTCTCGTGTGAACTTGATGTGACTGTCCACAGAGTTGATGTGTTCTGTGAAGGCTTTTAATTTTGACCCAGGTGTCGTCCACATATCTGTACCAGTGGCTCGGTGCTATTCCTCTGAAGGAGTTGAGGGCTTTATTCTCCACTTCTTCCATGCAGATGTTTGCCACAATCGGGGATACCGGTGAGCCCATGGCACAGCCATGCTTCTGTCTGTAGAATCCACCGTTGTACTGGAAGTAGGTGGTGTTTAGACAGAGGTCGAGTAATTTGCAGATTTGGTCAGGGCTGAGGCTAGTTCTGTTGTCCAGGGTGTTGTCTTGTGTTAGCCGTTTCCTAACGGTTTCTACTGCCTCTATGGTGGGGATGCAGGTGAACAAAGAAGTCACGTCATAGGATACCATGGTTTCATCTGGATCCAGTTTTAGTCCTCGAACTTTGTTTACAAAGTCAATAGAGTTTTGGACGTGGTGAGGCGTGTTTCCCACCAATGGAGCTAAGATGGTGGAAATGTGTTTGGCAATGTTGTAGGTGACAGCCTGTGGATACCCTAAATAGACCACAATATCCAAGAAGAACAAAACTACAGGGGAGGAAAAGAAGGTCAAACGCAACAACATTGTGATTCCATACGTGTCTGGAGTATCAGAGAAACTCAGGAGGATTTTCAACAAACACAACATCCCTGTGTTTTGTCTCTCTCTTCACCCCAACCGGTCGAGGCAGATGGCCGCCCACCCTGAGCCATGGTTCTGCTCGAGGTTTCTGCCTCTTAAAAGGAAGTTTTTCCTTGCCTCTGTCGCCTAGTGCTTGCTCTTGGTGGGATCTGTTGGGCTTCTGTAAATATCATCATAGAGTACGGTCTAGACCTGCTCTTTTATGAAAAGCGCTGTGAGATAACTGTTGTTGTGTTTTGGCGCTATATAAATAAAATTGAATTGAATTGAATTGAAAATACACAAACGCATGGCTCAACACAGAAGGGCCAACTCCTCAGGTCAAGACTCTGCAGTCTACTTACATCTGAAGGACAGAGGACACTCGTTTGAGGACCACCAGGTGCACATTTTAGACAGAGAAGATGCATGGTTTGAAAGAGGTGTCAAGGAAGCATCTACACCAGGGTTGAGAAGCCGTCATTGAACAGGGGAGGGGGTCTACGCCACCACTTATCCCCCACTTACAATGCTGTCCTTTCATCACTTCCCAGGAAACTCAACAAACGTAACCTATTGGCCTCAGGTGAAGATACCAACGATGGTCGTTCAGTCTTGGCCACAGGTAGTCTCAACGACCGTAACGACTGTCGTCACAGCAACAAGGAACACTAACGAACCAGCGGTATCGATGACCCGGGATAACGACCCCACTGAGGTTAAATAGCTGAGTTTCCCTGCCAGTCAGTCAGAACTGAAGAAGTCCTTTGGATGAGGGACGAAACGTCTTCCAGTATCTTCAACCAAGTCCAGTTGCCCTTGACTTTAACCTTTGTTGGATAACAAGACATGAATGCAAACAGCAACAGCCTCTTGCCCAGCACAACAAGTAACAATAATATTCCAAAAAAACCTTTTTAAGTCAATATAATTTCTTAATATAGCTATCTAAAGAAATCTCAGTTCTTGACTGGCAACTTTCTACTATCTCACAGAGGACATCTTTTGTCTTTTTGTCGTAGGGGGGGTGTTCAGAAAACAGTTTTTTAAAAAGAGTGAAAGAGAAAACAGTTGAGTGAAACGTTCAGCCCTACTCGGCTCTGCCCAACACAACGCGACCCAGACAACAGAGAACTTTACTAGAGATTCCACCCAGCCCTGTTAGGACCTGGTCTGAGTACTGTTGAGAGAGCATAGAGCGACGGACGTTAAAATTAATGTCCTGTACACCTTCCATCTCTCACAGCAGTCAGACTGAGATTTCCTCTTATTGACCATCATCACTGTGGATCCAGATCCTGGAAAAACTCTGAACTGAACCTGTGTGTTTCTCTTCATGTGTGCACCACAGCTCTTCTGCCGGTGAAGGACGACACAGACGAAGACATGGACGACCAAACCACTGTGAATAATATGAAAGCAGGTACACACTCAATGTAACACACACACAAACACATAGTAGCACACTGTAACACTCACACTGTAACACAAACTGGAAAAATCCCTCGTAACACACTGTAACACACTCAATGTAACACACACAGTAACACACACGATAGCACACGGTAAAACACACACACTGTAAAAATCCCTCGTAACACAAAGTGACACACTGTAAGACACTGTAACACACTGTGACACACTGTAACACACACCGAAGGACACAGTGACACACTGAAACACATTGTAAGACACACTGTAACACACACCGAAGGACACAGTGACACACTGTAACACACTGTGACACACTGTAACACACACCGAAGGACACAGTGACACACTGTAACACACTGTGACACACTGTAACACACACCGAAGGACACAGTGACACACTGAAACACATTGTAAGACACACTGTAACAAACACCGAAGGACACAGTGACACACTGTAACACACACCGAAGGACACAGTGACACACTGTAACACACACCGAAGCACAAAGTGACACACTGTAACACACTGTAAGACACTGTAACACACTGTAAGAAAAACTGTAACACACACCGAAGCACAAAGTGAAGCACTGTAACACACTGTGACACACAGTGACACACTGTAACACACTGTGACACACTGTAACACACTGTGACACACTGTAACACACTGTGACACACTGTAACACACAGGGACACACTGTAACACACACCGAGGCACACAGTGACACACTGTAACACACACAGTGACACACTGTCACACTGTAACACACACATTGACACACTGTAACACACTGTAACACACACCGAAGGACACAGTGACACAGTGTAACACACTGTGAAACACACCGAAGCACAAAGTGACACACTGTAACACACACCGAAGGACACAGTGACACACTGTAACACACTGTAACACACTGTAACACACTGTAACACACACCGAAGGACACAGTGACACACTGTAACACACTGTAACACACTGTAACACACTGTAACACACTGTAACACACACCGAAGCACACAGTGACAAACTGTAACACACTGTGACAAACTGTGACACACTGTGACAAACTGACATACTGTAACACACAGGGACACACTGTAACACACACAGTGACACACTGTCACACTGTAACACACACAGTTACACACTGTAACACACTGTAACACACACCGAAGCACACAGTGACACACTGTAACACACACAGTGACACACTGTAACACACACAGTGACACACTGTCACACTGTAACACACACAGTGACACACTGTAACATACTGTAACACACACCGAAGCACACAGTGACACACTGTAACACACTGTGACACACAGTGACACACTGTAACACACTGTGACACACTGACACACTGTAACAAACAGTTACACACTAACACACACCGAAGCACACAGTGACACACTGTAACACACTGTGACACACTGTGACACACTGACACACAGTAACACACTGTAACACACTGTGACACACTGACACACAGTAACACACTGTAACACACACCGAAGCACACAGTGACACACTGTAACACACTGTAAGACACACTGTTACACACACTGTGACACACTGTAACACACAGTGACACTGTAACACACTGTAACACATTGTAAGACACACTGTTACACACACTGACACACTGTAACACACACCGAAGCACACAGTGACACACTGTAACACACTGTAAGACACACTGTTACACACACTGTGACACACTGTAACACACAGTGACACTGTAACACACTGTAACACATTGTAAGACACACTGTTACACACACTGACACACTGTAACACACACCGAAGCACACAGTGACACACTGTAACACACTGTGACAAACTGTAACACACTGTGACAAACTGACATACTGTAACACACAGGGACACACTGTAACACACACAGTGACACACTGTCACACTGTAACACACACAGTTACACACTGTAACACACACAGTGACACACTGTCACACTGTAACACACACAGTGACACACTGTAACATACTGTAACACACACCGAAGCACACAGTGACACACTGTAACACACTGTGACACACAGTGACACACTGTAACACACTGTGACACACTGACACACTGTAACAAACAGTTACACACTAACACACACCGAAGCACACAGTGACACACTGTAACACACTGTGACACACTGTGACACACTGACACACAGTAACACACTGTAACACACTGTGACACACTGACACACAGTAACACACTGTAACACACACCGAAGCACACAGTGACACACTGTAACACACTGTAAGACACACTGTTACACACACTGTGACACACTGTAACACACAGTGACACTGTAACACACTGTAACACATTGTAAGACACACTGTTACACACACTGACACACTGTAACACACACCGAAGCACACAGTGACACACTGTAACACACTGTGACAAACTGTAACACACTGTGACAAACTGACATACTGTAACACACAGGGACACACTGTAACACACACAGTGACACACTGTCACACTGTAACACACACAGTTACACACTGTAACACACTGTAACACACACCGAAGCACACAGTGACACACTGTAACACACACAGTGACACACTGTAACACACACAGTGACACACTGTCACACTGTAACACACTGTAACACAAAGTGACACACTGTAACACATTGTAACACACTGTAACACACTGTAACACACACCGAAGCACACAGTGACACACTGTAAGACAAACTGTAACTCACACAGTGACACACTGTAACACATTGTAACACACAGTGATAAACTGTAATACACAGTGACACACTGTAACACACTCCGAAGCACAAAGTGACACACTGTAAGACAAACTGTAAATCACACAGTGAAACACTGTAACACATTGTAAAACATTGTAACACATTGTAACACATTGTAACAAATTGTAACACACTGTAACACACTGTAACACATTGTAACACACTGTAACACATTGTAACACATTGTAACACACTGTAACACACAGTGACACGCTGTAACACACTGTAAGCCACACCGAAGCACACAGTGACACACTGTAAGACAAACTGTAACTCACACAGTGACACACTGTAACACATTGTAACACATTGTAACACACTGTAACACACTGTAACACATTGTAAAACACTGTAACACATTGTAACACATTGTAACGCACTGTAACACATTGTAACACACTGTAACACACTGTAACACACTGTGACAAACTGACATACTGTAACACACAGGGACACACTGTAACACACACAGTGACACACTGTCACACTGTAACACACACAGTTACACACTGTAACACACTGTAACACATTGTAACACACTGTAAAACATTGTAAAACACTGTAACACACTGTAACACATTGTAACGCACTGTAACACATTGTAACACACTGTAACGCACTGTAACACATTGTAACACACTGTAACACACTGTAACACACACCGAAGCACACAGTGACACACTGTAAGACAAACTGTAACTCACACAGTGAAATACTGTAACACATTGTAACACACTGTAACACATTGTAACACACTGTAACACACTGTAACACATTTTAACACACTGTAAAACACAGTGACACACTGTAACACACTGTAACACATTGTAACACATTGTAACACACTGTAACACACAGTGACACGCTGTAACACACTGTAAGACACACCGAAGCACACAGTGACACACTGTAAGACAAACTGTAACTCACACAGTGACACACTGTAACACATTGTAACACACTGTAACACACTGTAACACATTGTAAAACACTGTAACACATTGTAAAACATTGTAACGCACTGTAACACATTGTAACACACTGTAACACACTGTAACACATTGTAACACACTGTAAAACACAGTGACACACTGTAAAACACTGTAACACATTGTAACACATTGTAACACACTGTAACACATTGTAACACATTGTAACACACTGTAACACAAAGTGACACACTGTAACACACTGTAACACACACCGAAGCACACAGTGACACACTGTAAGACAAACTGTAACTCACACAGTGAAACACTGTAACACATTGTAACACACTGTAACACACTGTAACACACTGTAACACACTGTAAAACACAGTGACACACTGTAAAACACTGTAACACATTGTAACACATTGTAACACACTGTAACACATTGTAACACATTGTAACACACTGTAACACAAAGTGACACACTGTAACACACAGTGACACACTGTAACACACTGTAACACACACCGAAGCACACAGTGACACACTGTAAGACAAACTGTAACTCACACAGTGACACACTGTAACACATTGTAAGACACTGTAACACATTGTAACACACTGTAACACACTGTAACACATTGTAACACACTGTAAAACAAAGTAACACATTGTAACACACTATAAAACACAGTGACACACTGTAAAACACTGTAACACATTGTAACACACTGTAACACATTGTAACACACTGTAACACATTGTAACACATTGTAACACACTGTAACACATTGTAACACACTGTAACACACACCGAAGCACACGGTGACGCACTGTAACAAATTGTAAGACACTGTAACACATTGTAACACACAGTGATAAACTGTAATACACAGTGACACACTGTAAAACACTGTAACACATTGTAACACACTGTAACACATTGTAACACACTGTAACACATTGTAACACATTGTAACACACTGTAACACATTGTAACACACTGTAACACACTGTAACACACACCGAAGCACACGGTGACACACTGTAAGACAAACTGTAACTCACACAGTGAAACACTGTAACACACTGTAACACATTGTAACACACTGTAACACATTGTAACACACTGTAACACATTGTAACACATTGTAACACACTGTAACACATTGTAACACACTGTAACACATTGTAACACACTGTAACACACTGTAACACATTGTAACACACTGTAAAACAAAGTAACACACTGTAACAC